GCGATAGGCTACAATTAATTTACTATGTAAAGATTGTTAATGTAATGACAGTAAATATTATTATTTAAATAAAGTCTTGCATTTAATGCCCGTTTGCGATAAAAAAAAAAAAAAAAAATGCTAGATATGATTTTTTTGGACTCAACTTTTAAACAATACATATATTGTATAAATTTTAGGATTACGTCAGAAAACTTCCGGTCCACCTTCGAAAAGAATTACCCATATATATAAAGACTCCAATTTTGCCTAGAAATTGACAAACTTGAACTTATAAGTCAAGATTATTGGTATCTGATAAAATATTAATAGTATTTATAGTATTTATCTTATTTGATTAATATAAATTACAGAATAGGTTTCATATATATTTCATTTATTGTTTATTTTTATTTTTTTTTTATATTTCATTTAATTAATTAAGTGCATATGATCTTTAGAGAATTAATAATATTATACAGTATATATATATTTAATTATATATTTTTATTATATTTATTTATATCGAAAAAACATATATTTAAGAAAGTTCTTTTTCCTTTGAAAAATAATAAAATTGTCTTGTTTCTCTTATATTTAATAAAGTTTTTTTTTATTAATTATAAATAATACTTTGTTTATAATTTATTAACAACATGTTATAATATGGAATATTATATTTGTAGTAAATAAAAAGAAGATATAAAGGACTTTGGATATTGAAAAATGAAAAAAATATTTATTTCTCTAATTTTAGAGAAAAATTACCATAAAAAAAATTATATATGGAAAAAAGTTTTGTTCCTTTACAATTTATATATAAATTTATATATAAAAATTTTTAAAAATTTTTAAACAAATTTTTTTTGATTTTAATATCAAATTTTAAAATAAATTTATTAATAAAATATTAAAAAAACTTATTATTTTATTTTTTATATTCAAAAAAACATATATTTAAATTTTATAACAAATAATTAAATATTTATTTATTTATAAAAAATATTTGTTTAAAGACTTTTTAGACAAACTATATATTTTGTTATACATAATATTAAATAAAGAAATAATATTTTTATGTTAATAGTTTAAAAAACCAATAATATATGAAAAATATAGTTTTAACAATATTTTTTATATTATAAAAACTCAAAAAAAATTAATTATATATTATTTATTATTTATTAAAGATTCTAAAATTATAATTAATTTATATTTTAAACTTAATTAATTAAATTCTATAAAATATTAAAATAAGCTTATATTTTTAGTATACTATTTAATAATTAAAATAAAATTATATAGTATATTCAATATATTATTTATAGTTTAATATAAACAATATTATATTTAATAATAAAAATTAAAGCAAACTTATACATTTAATATATAATCCTATAATTAATATAAGCAATTAATTAATCTTTTATATTAACAATATTATTACTATATATAGTAAATATATTTATTTTTGTTTATTTTTAATTTTATTTAGTATAGTAATATTGTTTTAAAATTTATTTTTAAAATTAATTAATATGTATTGTATAAGTAAACTGATATTAAACTTGTTGAAATAATATGAAAAATACTGTTTCTTTTATAATATACAAATCAAATAAAAAAATAATATTTACTTGTGAAAAAAAATTTTTTTTAATCAAAGATTTTATATTAAAAAAATATACGTATATTATATTAAATAAATAAATATTATTTAGACAAAGTATATTTTAAATTTTCAAAACTAATTATTAAATATATAGAAAATTATAATTGACCATATTTATTTAAAAAAAATTCTTAATTTTTTATATGCCTCAACATTATCTTTAAGACTTGGTTGTTAAGGAGAAAATAAATGTTTTAAAGTTGATAAATGAGTAAAAGTCTCGTAAATCATAAAACATGCATAGTTAAATTCAAATATTTTTATTGGTAAAAACTAGGTTAAACAATCCCAATTGGGAATAAGTATATCAAAAGGCAATCCCCGAGCGAAGATGTTTTCTGTTAATGATCAAAAAAAAAAGAAAACTTTTGCCAAAATGCAAGAACAAGCAAATAAAATACCTTGGTTATTGAATACACGTATTCGTCTTAGTATTTTCATTCTATTTGTATTCGGATTGTTTTCATATCTCATTATAGTTGATAATAGATCACAGAATATTGATTACCCCCCATGGTCTAACGAACCTTCAAGTAATTTTCCAAATACGCTAGGAAAACAGGTATATCTGCACAATGTAACTAATCTTCCTACAATACAACACAAATTTACTGGAAGAGAAAAAACCAAAGAGAGATTAATTAGAGAACGAAGGCGTAACGCCATAAGGAAAGGGTTTCTTCACGCATGGCGAGGATATACTAAATATGCATGGGGTCACGATGAACTATTACCGGTGTCTAATCAAAGTCGAGATAATTTTAATGGGTGGGGTGCAACTATTGTGGATTCCTTGGATACTTTGTGGATAATGAATTTAACAAGGGAGTTTGACCGTGCGAAGGAATTTGTGAGAACGGTTGATTTTACAACGAGCGAGAATGATATTAGCGTGTTCGAGACTACAATAAGATATTTGGGTGGGTTATTAAGTGCTTATGAATTTTCGAGGGAACCGATATTATTAGAGAAAGCATTGGAGTTAGGAACCGCGCTTCTACCATCCTTTAACAGTCCTAGTGGATTACCCTACAATACTTGGAATCTTACTAGGTATTTTTAAAGGACTTATATATATATATATATTTTCTTTATTCTACGAAAAATCTGGTGTGATTTAACAATTAAATTATCGTAATAATTTTTCTTTTTGAATCTTAAGGGGACGTATTGAGAAAAGTGTCCCACAACTTAGCCCTGGAATATTATCACAGGCTGGAACTTTGCAATTAGAATTTATGAAACTAGCACAACTTTCGGGAGAAAGTGAATTTTTCTACAAGGTGAATGGATTTTTTTTTTAAAAAAAAAAATAAATTCTGTAAATCAAGCACTGAGATAACCGACTTTATAATTTTGGTATAATATTAAGGTTCAGAACATTACTAATGTTTTGGATAGGGCAAAAAAATCTATTCAAGGGCTTTACCCAATACAAATAGATCAAGGTTATATTAAATAATTATATATATATATATATTTTTCGACATATCCTTTACTATTAATAACTAAAAAATTCGGATGTTTGTAGATACTGGAGAGTTCATCGGAAGTAAGATGTTTTTTAATTATTTTATTACACTCTACCAAAGTGTTGCAACTCAACCTACTCTTTCAATAGATCATGTATCATTTGGTGCTCAGGGCGATAGTTTTTACGAGGTATAAGCTGTCAATTATTCAAAAGACCTTAATATTACCCGCAACTTATAGAATTAAAACATCCTTATGCAGTATCTGATCAAAGAATATATCTATGTTGGGGGAGCCATAGATCAATATCGACGAATGTGTATGTATTAGTATTTTGTTATCTCAATCATTTATAATGGCAAATTTTTGATTTAGTTATTGAATAATCCGTGGCTTTAGATGTTGAGTCCATCGATAGCATGCATGAATATTTAATTGAGGAATGTCAGGTTGAAGATCGATCAAATTTGCTGTTCATTGGAGAATTATCTTATGCCGAATTTTCCGAAAATATGCACCATTTAGTAAATATGTTTTATATTTCACCGCATAATATTTTATGTATATTTTTAGGTATATTTTGATCTGACTTTTAACTCTTCGATAGGCCTGCTTTGTTCCAGGAATGTTATCAATAGGAGCAAAAGTACTTAATCGTCCCAAGGACCTTGAGGTTGCCATAAAGCTGGCAGAGACATGCTATTGGTCATATGAAGCAACATATACTGGAATAGGTGCCGAATCGATGTGGTTTATTTCTTCACATAATACACTTAACAAGATTGAAAGAGATTGGATAGAATCTATGAATAAAAAAAATGGTGTTCCTAGTGGTTTGCTTAACATTTCTCCTGATTATTACTTGAGGCCAGGTAACTAAAATAATAATAATAAGTTATTTTTTTGTCTCTATAAGACGACGGGTGGATTTCTAGATAATCTATTATATTTCTCTCTACACTTAGAAACGGTTGAGAGTTTATTTATATTATATAGGATAACTGGTGATAAAAAATACCAAGAAAAAGGATGGAAGATATGGCAGGTAATGTAAAATTAGCTTAGCTCGTATTCCTTTTTTACCAAAGATCACTATCCTCATTATGCACTATTATACAGGCTATTAATAAATGGTGTAAAACACCAGCGGCATATTCGGGGCTCACTGATGTAACATCTAAATTTAGTCAAAAGAATAATCAAATGGAAAGGTAACATATGTTTGCCTTTATTGAATTATTGTCATCCTCGTTATATTATTGTGTATTATTGATCCTATTTTTAAATTTTTAGTTTCTTCCTAGCAGAAACCTTGAAATATTTATATCTGCTGTTTAGTCCACCGGATTTTATTTCGTTAGATAAATATGTATTTAACACCGAGGCACATCCACTCCTGAGGATGCTCAAGAATTCCGTATCTCATGAACAAATATAGATTTCTACTTTAAAGTCGAGAATTGATCTTATAAATTATTGTAATCGTTTGACTATGGTCATAATTACACAATTTTCTATTTATTTGAGTGATTTAATGGACTCAATTAATGTTTTAATATGTGTAGTTGTTTTTTTATTAATAATTTATTAGCGATTGTATAGTTCAACCCAATAAATATATCTCGCGGGTTAACGTGAACATCATTGATTCATTGATTTCATGATTTTATATAGATATTTGTTTCTGATTTCACGTGTGATTCAAAGATTTTGACAGGCGAAATTGACTTTATAACATCCTAAGTGATTAAAAAAATTTTAACAATTTTTTTTATAATCCACAATTAGGTTGGTGTAACGTGCTTATTAAATCATATTTAACCATTACAAATGTGAGAAATAAATTTATTGTATTAATCTTTTAACCTAATCAATCCATTAATAGCATAAGATTTCTAAATGTGATTTATGGAGATAATATGTTGCTGCTAAGTCTTTCGATAGGATCAAAATCTACAAATCATCTCTACTGTCATATATCATAAATTCAAATTGGATTATTTTCATTGTAAAAATTATACAATAAAGGAAAAAAAAGAAAATAATATATGTGCATATAGGAAAAAACGGGTGATTTTTTATACAATTTTATATTGGGTATCGTGATGGAAATAAGAGAAATAAAGAGAATAAATTGTAATAATTAAAATAAAAAAATAATTAAACACATAAATATATTTAGCTTTTATAATAATAAAAATACAAAAAGATATGTTTATCTTAAAAAGCAAATATGTTTACCTTATTATAAGTAAATATTATATCTTTATTTTTATTTAATTTATTTTTTTAAAATTGCAAATAAGCATTAAATGTGAAATTTTTATTAAACAAGAGTTTATAGCCATTATATTAAAGATCTTTATATGAATTGTAAGTTAATCCTAGCCTATTGCAATTTTTCCTGTTAGCACTAACTTATACCAAGTAGGTGGATCTGTGTTAGCAGTGTTGAATGGCTAATGCCTATTCAAAATAATGATACAATTGTAGATATAAATATTTTTTTTGTTAATTAAGTTATTATTTATTGCTAAAATATTAAGTATATTGTAAAATGTGAAGCTATTATTTTTAATATAATCAATTTTTATAATCATAGTTTTTTTCTATTTTATTTTTGATATAAATAATGTAATGGTGGTTGTTAAGCATTCCTTCCAACTTTGTAAAGAATTTTGAGTGCTTTGTTTAAAATTGTGACTTTGTTATTTTATATTTTATTCAAGAAAAATTGAAGATTGTCAAATGTAAGAATAATTATATCAGGTATTATTATTGTAAAAAAGATTGATAGGAGTATTTCTCCAGCCTTGAATATTTAATATGTATTTTTGTTTATTAACTCTATAAGTTTATTTTCTTTTTCTTAAAAGTGAGTATAGTGTAGATATATAAAAAAATATATAGTTGATCTTCTGAAAACACTTTGTAGTATAAATGAAAATGTTTATCTTATTATAAATTATCTGTATAATAAACTATTATATTATATTTTAATCTTATCTATAATTATATAACTAATAACTAAAGATTAATCAAATTTAATTGTCTCTTTTTTCTATAAAACAAAAAGAAAATAATATTAATATTGATACAAATCATATAGTTAAATAATACAAACTAAGTCTATTTAATTATTATATGATATATTGTAATTAGACTTGTATACAAGTAACAAATTCATTAATTTTTTTTTTATAATATAAAAAAAATAATTATTATTTATTCTATTTATTATTAAAAAAATTATTTTTTGATTTAAACAAAATTCAATATTCTTTACAATTTTTAATATACTTATTTATTATTATATTTATTTATTATTAATAATAATTATTTAAATTATTCAATTTTTACTAAAGTAAAAATATTTAATGATATTTAAAAACAAATATTTTTATAACTTTATTCAAAGATAATAAAAAAAAAACTCTTTCCCGTATACAACATTTTTCTCAAAAATTTTCTTTTATAGTAATTTTTTCAAAATTAAAGAAATAGTTTTTTTTATTTTCGCCTTTTACCATCCAAAAGTTTTCCACACTTCTACTACCTTTACTACAGGAACCTTGAGAAATCTAGAAAAGTATTCTGATGCATTGGGATGGGACCTCTGGCCAGGAAAAAGCAAGTTTGGGGACCTTGCTATTTTCTTGGATTGCATGAGGAAAGGCCCGTGGCAGTTACTTCTCTACAAATTTTCCTTGGGGTTCCTCCCATTTACACTTCTTATTAAAAAACAATTCTTATTAAATAACCATTTTTTGTTCTTGGAGAGCTATTCTTTACTTCAAAATATCAAATCTTACATCACTATTGTTTGTATTGTTGGTTTGGAGCACCAGCAGTATACATAATACCCACTTCTTACTATTGCTCAGCACAATATGCTGTGTCACAAAAACCAAAAAATTTTTACACAAAAAATTTTCTACCAAAAAACCGTAATCAGTTTACTCCTGTCAACTGATCATCATCTCGAAACCAACCAATCAGATATCACAAATTATCCAAACAAATTCGTACAACCAAAACATCACACAATGATCAACATAAACAAAATCAATTTTGGCAACCATAATCAAAACAAGATCATACCACCAACTCGCAAACCAATCATCTTACCAACCACCAATTACACTAACACAATAATAATAACAACTATAATGGTAAACCAAGTCATATACACTTTATCATCCATGTCAACAAAAATTATACCTACAAGTCGAAAGAAACCGGAGAGACAGGACAATGAGCCTGGCTAGGGGTTCTCTTGAAAATATAATTTTTTTTCTCATAAATTTTACAGTTTATTCGATTTCACTTTACCAACCATCAATCATACCAACACAACAACAATAGCAACTATAACAATAAACCAAGTCATATATACTTTATCATCCATGTCAACAAAGATTATATCTACAAGTCAAAAGGAACTGGAGAGACAGGACAATGAGCCTGACTAGAGGTTCTCTTGGAAATATAATTTTTTTTCTTATAGCTCTTATAGTTTATTCGATTTCGTTTTAGTTTTAGTTAATTTTATTTTTCTCTTCAATAATTCTGAGTAGGCATACATAGCTGCTCGGCATCATTTAATTAGTATACTAGTTTTAAAATGTCTTTTCTAGTAGAAGTTAAGTGATTACTATAGGCAGGCTAGCATTAAACTCACTGCTAATCGCACGTGAGAGATGTTGTTTCTTTCTAAATGTATACCTTGTAATATACGAATAAATAAAGAAATGGTGTTTACCTACTCAAAAAAAAAAAATAAATAAATTTATTAAGAATAATTAATCTATTAATTATTTTTAAACAACTTAAAAATCAAAAATAAAATTTTAATTACAAAAATATATAATTGTTATATATTTTTAAAAAATTATTAAATATTAATTGTTTAAACATATTATTAATCTAAAAATTCTAATTTAAATTTTATAAAAATTATATAAATAAAATTAAAAAAATTCAAATTATATTTGTAAAAATATATAAATAAAATTTTTTTAATTTAAATTACTTATTTTATATAAAATGATAAATATTTATTTAAGTTAAAATATACTTTTAAAAATATTATTTATTTATATTAATAAAGAAATTTTATTTACTAAATAAAAAACTTTATTATATAATTTTTTTTTTTTTTGTATTTTGAATATTTATAATATTAAATATATATCTTCTATATAATACTGATTATTTTTTTTTTATAATAGTATTATTTATATCTAAATAAAAAAGACTTATAGAAAAAATTTGAAGCATGAAATCCAGAAAAGTTTTAAGTAGTAAAATATCTTCAGTATTGTAATTTGATTATTGAAATCAAATTTAGTAATGTAAGAAGAGTTGGAGAGGAAGATATAAGGTTTGGCATATAATCCTTAATCAAAAGACTTTGTGTCCAAGGATTAAAGCTTTTTAAGAATCCCTTTGATAGATAAATTCTTTATTAACTTTTATAAATAATTAGAATATAATTTAATTGATTTTAAATACAAATAGTAAAGTGTACTGTTTTCTTTACATCAATTACAATATATTGCTGCTTAGCAACTCAATAATAATTAGCACCATGAGAATTATTCTCCTTATATAATCATATATATACAAGTTTGCCAAAATATTTATATCAATTAATTTATAAAAATATAAAAGAATTTATTAACAAAAATTTATTAAATTAATAATAAAGATAAAAGATAGTTTATTAAAGATTTAGAAAAGGAATAAAGATCAAATAATGTAACAATTATAATTATGAGGAATTTATAACTATGTTTTTTTTAGAAAGACAAAATGGCCACCTTATATATTGTTTTTAGTTACTTGTTCAACAATAATAAATAATAATTCTATTCAGAATAAAAATCCCTAATTTATTCGAAATTATATTAAGTAACTAGCTTTAGTGACCTTAATAAAATACATTCTGTTAGTCATTTTGCTTATATGTTGATAAATGACTTTAACTAGTTTTCTAATAAATAATGAGATGTTTTACTTCAAAGATCATTTGCCATACAAAATTATAAAAATTTAAAGGATTGACAAGTTAATTACATGGTCACGTGATCTCTGATGTACAACTATCTTGAATTATAACACTATTCCTTCCTATAAATAATAATTTCAAGAATAAATTCATAAAATAATATTA